AACTAATTTATCTGCAAAATAAGTCTAGTTTCAATAAACTTGGCCTGATTATTTGTATATGAAGTTCAGCAAAAATAGTAATTAATCATATAGACCCCTTTAAATCTGCTTTACTGGAATTTTCCTGAGGAATCTTCAAATTGAACTTTAATTAGCCTCTCAAAGCTAAGAAGTCAAGTTGCATACTTGCCATCAGATTTCACCCACAATAGCTACAGATTTGGGTGAATTCTCTCTTCTCAAGGTCCCTGGGGTTCTTTCCTTGCATCTCCCAGGAAACAACCTTTGTTCCTCACCTGGAAAGTCTGCTGTAAACCATGCAAACTAGGTTCCAGGCTGTTTTCCTAAAAGGGTTTTTATCGGCTTCCAAAGTCAATCTTAACTCCTCAAAATTTTCTGGTCCAAATCTATCCATGCCTCTCTCAAAAGTGACATTCCAGTCAAAGCCTTGTTTTAAAAAAAAAACAAAAAACAGTCTAATAGATTCTTATTGAACTTATGCAAATAATCTCAATGCCATGAAAATAAAAATACTCATTACTGGATTCTGGAGGGATCTAGTGAGGGAAAAAAAATGCTTTAATTCTGCTTACAGAGGTATAATTTACCAAATTGCTAAGTCATAGGTAAACAAGTTTCCTTTTATCTGGAAAACAAAAGGATTAAAAAAATCAGCAGTGTCAAAAAAAAAAAAAGTCATAAAAATTATAACCATTGTCATCAATGCATTTTATCCTATGTAATTAACCTTGCTCTGCTTGAATCCAGTTTTTCCATTAGTTCTCTAGACTTTACCTGATAATCCCAAGAAGTTTGCAGGGCTGTCCATCAAGTCTCATATGATTTGCTCAGTGAAGTGGGTACCAAATCACTAGAGATTGTGGAAGGCATAACCAAGTGGGAAACATTTTCTGACAGTTTACCATTGTGAGGGTATCAGTCTGTGGCAGGGGAAAGCTTCAACTTATCCAGAAAATATACACACAAAAACAAGAACATATCAATAACCCAAACTAAGTGGCGGTTGAATGAAGTCCAGCTTAAATGTACCGTGGTGAATTAGGAATGCAAAAACCCACAAAATGCCAAGGAGCCAGGTTAACCAGGTGGCCATCTTGGTTTCCCATAGCCCCGACTAGTCATTTACTTACAGCCATTGTTTGCCTATCTTAATTTCTCTGATTCAGGGACAAACCGTTGCCATGTTAAAAGAACATCCGGATGGCAAAAGTCTGTCAATGGGTCATTTTTTTGCAGAAACAGAATGGACTTTATCCACATGTCCCACAAGCTGATATTCAGGTTCAATTATTTCAGTGTGTCACTCAGTTTTGATGACAGACATCTTATGTCAGGATATATAGCATTATATTTTTGGAATATTTATAATACGTACTTAAAGAAATACAGTCCAGCTGGTGTGGCCCAGTGGTCAAGTGGTCGACCCATGCACCAAGAGGTCACTGGTTCAATTCCCGGTCAGGACACATGCCCAGGTTGTGGGCCTGATCCCCAGTGGGGGCATGCAGGAGGCAGCCAATCGATGTTCTCTCTCATTGATGTTTCTATCTCGCTCCCTCTCACTTCCTCTCTCTCTAAAATCAATAAAGGGAAAAGAAAGACACAAATACAACATAAAGAAGGCTCACTGTTATTTTTTATTTGATAGTGCTTCCCATATCACTTCAATACACTAAAATAAGCCTAATTAGTTTAACATTTTTCTGGTAAGTAGAGAAAACAAACCTTTAAAGGTGTTGCAGAGGCCCTCTGGGATACCTCAGTTATTCCCAGGTCAAGACTATTTATAATTTAAATATCTGGAAGTTTCTCAAAATATATCAAGAGTTGCCCAGCCAGTGTGGCTCAGTGGTTGAATGTCAACCCATGCACCAAGAGATCGCCAGTTTGATTCCCAGTCAGGACACATGCCCAGGTGTGGGCCCAATCCCCATTGGGGGCATGCAGGAGGCAGCCAATCGATGTTCTCTCTCATCCATGTTTCTCTCTCTTCCCCTCTCCCTTCCTCTCTCTAAAAATTAATAAAGAAATACAAATTTTAAATATATATATATATCAAGAGGTTTAGACATTTGACTAAATAGGATCATGTCATTTTGAAGCAATTATCCACTTAACCAAAATGGCAATAGAAAAATTAAAACACAAATATAGAAGTTTATGCCCTGGCCAGTTTGGCTCAGCGGTTAGATCGTCGGCCTGCGGTCCGGAGAGACCCGGGTTCGGTTCCCGCTAAGGGCATGTACCTCGGTTGCAGTTTGTCCCCGGCCCTGGTTGGTCGTGCGGGTGGCAGCCACTCGATGTGTCCCTTCACGTCGATGTTTCTCTCTCTCTCTCCCTTCCTCTCTCTCCCTCCCACTCTATCTGTACAAAAAATGGAAAAATATCCTCGGGTGAGGACAAAAAAAAAAAAATAGAAGTTTATGTAATTGTTAGCAAAACTGTTCTTATTATTAAGGAGATTCAGTTTCTTAAGTAACCAAGGACCTGGTTAAGGCAACATAAAAAACAAAATTATTTTGATAAAACACAGAATCTTTGCTTTCAAGGCAGAAAACATTTTCACAATATCTGTAGCAGACCAACAGTCCAAGAAGCTTTGTCCTCTTGAACAGAAAGAGAATACCAAGCTCTAATTTTGCAACAGCTTACTTTTGATATTTAAATTATTTCTTTATCTCTTCTAACCAAAGTAATATAGGCAAATAGTTCAAAAATCAAATAGTCCCATAGATGTACGATGAAAAACAGTGGTTCCTGCTATCCTGGAACTCTTTACCCTCTCTCTTCAGAGCACCTGTTTCCTGGATCCCGTTGCCTTCCTCTCTTGGTTTGCTTCTTTGTTTTGATGGAATATCTCCTCCACTAGCTTCTAAGGGAAAGGTGCATGGGAGGTGAATTTTTAGAATCCTTACATACTCGAAAATGTTTTTCTTCTACTTTCACTCTTAATTGATAATCTCTCTGAGTAAATAACTGGATTGAAATAGTTTTCCTACAAGTTTGGAGAACTTTTTTTTATTGGCTTTTAGTATCAAAGATTTTTATTGAGAAGTTTAATATCATTCTGATTCCAATTTCTTTGCAATGACCAGTTTTTCTCCCTGAAGACTGGGGCTCTGAAACATCAAAGGGATTATTGTTGATTTAGGTCTCTTCATTTATTGTACTGCATACTCAGTAGATCCTTTCCATCTGGAAACACTTGTTTCTGGGACATTTTTCTATGTTACATCCTGAATAATTTTCTCTTCCCTATTGTCTTTATTCGCTTTCTTGATCTCCTATTAGTTGGATGTTGGACCTTTTGCTCTGATCTTTTCATTCTCAATGTCTTTTCTCCTGTTGTCTCTCTTAATCTTTTATTCCACTTCCTATAAGATTTTATTTTCTAAAATATTATTCTTTACCTTCAAAACTGTATATTAAATAATCAATTGTGATTCACATTTTTAAGATCTGATTTTTATTTTAATGCTTCTTATAATATCTTATGAAATGCAATCATTTTACAGAAGTAATACACGCTCTGGCCGGTTTGACTCAGCGGTTAGAGCGTCGGCCTACGGTCCAGAGAGACCCGGGTTCGGTTCCCACTAAGGGCACATACCTCAGTTGCAGTTGTCCCCAGCCCTGGTTGGGTTATGTGGGTGGCAACCACTCGATGTGTCCCTTTCACGTTGATGTTTCTCTCTCTCTCTCTCTTTCTCTCCCACTCTATCTGAACAAAAATGGAAGAATGTCCTCGAGAAAACTAATTTTAAAAAACAGAAGTAATACACTTCTAATATTTTTTTTTTAGATTTTTTAATTGATTTTTTTAGAGAGAGAAGAAGGGAGAAGGAGAGAGAGAGAGAAACATCAATGTGAGAACGGAACATCAATTGGCTGCCTTCTGCACACCCCTGACCAGGAATTGATCCAGACCCAGACATGTACCCTTCCTGGTAATTGAACTGACTACCTTTGGTGCATAGTATGATGCCCTACAAACTGAGCCTCACCAGCCAGAGCTCTTTGAATATAGGTTTTGTTTTTTTTTAGTTTTTTCTCTTTCCTTCATTATCTTCATTTCCTCCAGATCTGTTTCATGTATGTGTTTCATGTTTGGTTGAACAGTCTCATGATGGAAATGTTCCAAGAATGTTTGGTGATCCTTAACCATTGTTTTTTTTTTCAATCCTCACCTGAGGATATTTTTTCATTTATATTCAGATAGAGTGGGAGAGAGGGAGGGAGGGAGGGAGGGAGGGAGGGAGGGAGGGAGGGAGAGAGGGAGGGAGGGAGAGATTGAGAGAGACAGAGAGAGAGAGAGTTAGAGAGAAACATCAATGTGAGAGACACATCAATTAGTTGCCTCCCGCATGCAGGGCCAGGGACCAAACTGCAACCCAAGTACCTTCCCTTGACCAGAATAAAACCTGAGACTCTTTGGTCCATGGGCCAACACTCTAATGGCTAAGCGAAACTGGCCAGGGCCTAACCATTCATATGTATTAGAGAGGCTCTAACATGCTGATTGGTAGTCAGTGTGTCAGACTATCAACCAAAAAGTCATCACATCACCAGTCAGCCTTGTGTTGGAGGATTCCCAAAGGCAAGATCTAGAAGCCCTTTCTCTGGGGTCACTCAGCTTCTCAAGGGAACTTTCTCAAGGGAAGGATCCTGCCCGGTGACATGCCTAGCAATTGGCATTCTGGGAGCACAGGCTAAGCATCTGACTGGATAGCCATTTGCCCTGTTTCCGCCCTGTGCCTCACTTCTGATCTCTGCTGAGCCTGGTCTCCAGTCTCTCCAGTTCAATTTCTCTAGATATTAAGGCTTTGTTCTCTTGTTGGAGAGCTGATCGGAGAGGGAGGAAGGTCCTGGCAGATAGTGGAGTCACCTGGCAGTCTGATATAGTAGTGATGACTTGTAGGTCCAACTACCACACATTAAGACTTTCAGCTCTCCCACTGAGTTTAGTTCTCACATCGCCCATGACTTTTGCCACTCTAGGCAGCTCCAGGTGCCCTCCTTCGCAGAGGTTCTGTGGTAAGTCAGTTCCTTTCCCATCAGTTAACACTCTCCAGCCACATTCTGTCATCTAAAAATATGTTTAAATTTCTCCTTTGCAATTACATTAGTTGGGATTCTTCAGGTGCAAGGAGCAGAAAACCTAGTCTCCTTTTTTTCAATTATAGTTTACATTCAATATTATTTTGTATTAGTTTCAGTTGTATAGCATAGTGGTTATGCAATCAAATACTTTACAAAGTGGTCCTCCCAATATTTCAAGTACCCACCTGGCACCGTACATAGTTACTACAATATTATTGACTATATTCTCTATGCTGTACTTTACATCCCTGTGACTATTTTGTGACTTCCAATTTGTACTATTTAATTTTTTCACTCAGCCCCCTAACCCTTCTCCCCTGACAACTTTCAGTCTGGTCTCTGTATCTAAAAGTCTGTTTCTGTTTTGTTTGTTCATTTATTTTGCTCTTTAGATTCCATGTATACGTGAAATCATACAGTATTTTTCTTTCTCTGTCTGACTTATTTCACTTAGCATAATGCCCTCTAGGTCCATCTATGCTTTCACAAACAGTAAAGTTTTATTCTTTTTTATGGCTGAATAATATTTTGTATATATGTACCACAACTTTTTCATCTATTCATCTATTGAAAGCTTGCTGTCCAGCCCTGGCCAGTTTGGCTCAGCAGTTAAAACATTGGCCTGCGGTGCAGAGAGACCCGGGTTCGGTTCCCGCTAAGGGCGCATACCTCGGTTGCAGTTTGTCCCCAGCTCTGGATGGGTCATGCGGGTGGCAGCCACTCGATGTGTCTCTTTCACATCGATGTTTCTCTCTCTCTCTCTTCCTGTCTCTCCCTCCTACTCTATCTGAACAAAAAATGGAAAAATGTCCTCTGGTGAGGATAAAAAATAAAATAAATAAATAATAAAAGAAAGCTTACTGTCCATTAGTGTGTAAGGTGTGTCATTAGTGTGTAAGGTGTGTGGTAAGTGTGTGATCCTTCCCTAATATATTTGGATATTTTCAGCTAAGTTGATGCTGAACTATGAGGTTCCTCCAAATGTTGGCTGAACTTTGTCCTTGCACGTCCCCGGGCTCATCTGCAAAATCTACAGTTCATAAGGGAGCTACTGTACTGACTATTGGAAGAAAGAGATTCTGAAAATAGGGAGATTCAACATTGGTCTGAAATTTCCTGTGGGCTGTTCAGTCTAGATGGAAATGACATGGAAGAATCAAGTGCTCAAGTGGTTTAAAGATGTTTTGGATGTTCCTATTTATAGACTACAGTATTTTTTCAATTAAAATTCTCAGTTGTCCCCTTTCTCTCCTCTCTCTCCCTTTCTCTCCTCTCTCCCTCTCACTCTATCTGAAGATAAATAGAAAAATATCCTCGGGTGAGGGTTGAAAATTAAATCAATCAATAAAATTCTCAGTTGTCATTCATAGCTTGCTTCCATTGCTTGGCTTTTGTAAATAATGCTGCTATGAACATAGGGGTGCATATTTTCTTTCTGATTGGTGTTTTGGATTCTTAACATATAATCCCAGAAGTGGGATCACTGGGTCAAATGGCAGTTCCATGTTTAATTTTTTGAGGAAACTCCATTACTGTTTTCTACAGAGGCTGCACCAATCTGCATTCCCACCAGCAGTGTACTAGGGTTCCCTTTTCTCCACGCCCTCGCCAGCACTTGTGTTTGTTGATTTATTGATGGCAGCCATTCTGACAGGTGTGAGGTAATACCTCATTGTAGTTTTAATTTGCATTTCTCTGATGGTTAGTGACAATGAGCATTTTGTCATGTGTCTCTTGACCATTTGTATGTCCTCTTTGGAGAAGTGTCTATTCGGGTCCTTGGCCTTTTTTTTTTTTCCTTCTTTATTGATTTTAGAGAGAGAGGAAGGGAGAGTAAGAGAGATGTAGAAACATCGGTGAGAGAGAACATCGATTGGCCACCTCATGCATGCCCCTCACTGGAAATCAAGCCCACAACCTGGGCATGTGCCCTGACCAGGAATTGAACCAGCAACCTCTTAGTGCATGGGTTGACACTCAGCCACTGAGCCACACTGGCTAGTCCCTTTGCCCGTTTTTTAATTGAATTGTCTTCCTGGTGTTGAGGCGTATGAGTTCTTTATATATGTTAGAAATTAAATCCTTATCAGATGTATCATTGGCAAATATATTTTCCCATACAGTGGGTTCCCTTTTTATTTTGTTGATGGTTTCTTTTGCAGTGCAGAACCTTTTTAGTTTGATGTAGTCCCATTTGTTCATTTTTCCTTTTGTTTCCCTTGCCTTAGTATCAGTGAAACTACTGCCACTTGAGATGTCTGAGATTTTATTGTCTGCATTTTCTTCTAGGATTTTTATGTTTTTGTGAGTTACATTTAAGTATTTTATCCATTTTGAGTTTATTCTTGTGTGTGGTGTAAGTTGGTGGTCTAGTTTTATTTTTTCATATATACCTGTCCACTTTTCCCAACACCATGTATTGAACAGACTCTCTTTACTCCATTGTATGTTCTTGATTCCTTTGTCAAATATTAATTGGCTATATTAGTGTGGATCAATTTCTGGGGTCTCTCTTCTGTTCCATTGGTCTATATGCCTGTTCTTGTGCCAGTACGGCTGTTTTGATTACAATGGCTTTATAGTATAGTTTGATATCTGCTATTATAATCCCTCCAACTTTGTTCCTCTTAAGATTGCTGTGGCTATTCAGGGTCTTTTCTGATTCCATATATATTTTTGGAAAATTTGTTCTAGCTCTGTGAAATATGCCATTGGTATTTTAATACGGATTATGTTGAATCTGTAGATTGCCCTGGGTATTGTGGACATTTTAATTATGTTAATTTTTCTAATCCATAAACACAGTGTATGCTTCCACTTTTTTGTGTCTTCCTGTATTTCCTTTTTTAATGTCCTATAGTTTTCTAAGTACAGGTCTTTTACTTCATTGGTTAGTTTATTCCTAGGTTTCTTATTTTTTTTGTTGCAGTGGTATCGTTTTCTTAGTTTCTCTTTCTGAAGTTTCATTATTGTTGTATAAAAATACCATTGATTTCCGGGTATTATTTGTATCCTGTTACTGTGCCAAATTTATTTATTAAATCTAGCAGTGTTTTGGTTGAGTCTTTAGGGTTTTTCTATGTACAGTATCATGCCATCTGCAAATAATGACAGTTTTACTTTCTCCTTTTCAATTTGGATACCAAGATAATTTTTTATGTAATGACTCTATTATCACACGAAACAAAATCCAGCTCACTTTTATCGCCTCAGGGCAGGAAGGTTTTATCATGTTTGGGAAGGCTTCAAAAAGAGCCTACTTCAAAGTTTGGAAACAAATGTCCATCAATAGACTAATAGACTAGTTGAGTAAATTGAGATATATCCATACTATGGAATACTTGGGAATATTTAAAAAGATTATATAGTTCTATACATGGAAAGATTTCTACAATATCACTAGGTTTTAAAAACATAAACAAAAGAAAACATGTCTAGCCGAGCTGGTGTGGTTCAGTGGATTGAGCGTTGTCCCATGTGCCAAGAGGTCACTAGTTCAATTCCCAGTCAGGGCACGTGCCCAGGTTGCCAGCTTAACCCTCAGTAGAGGACATGCAGGAGGCAGCCAATCGATGTTTCTTTCTCCAATTAATGTTTCTCTCTCTCTCTTTTTCCCTTCCTCCCTCTCCCTTCCTCTCTCTCTAAAATCAATAAAAACATACTTACAAAAATAAATACATAAACACAAACTCTCTTCCCATTCCCCTTCCCCCAGTGCCTGGTAACCACTGTTCTACTTTCTGTCTCTATGGATTTGACTATTCTAGGTACCTCATATGCGTGGAATCATATATTTGTCCTTTGTGTCTGGCTTCTTTCCCTTAACATATGTCTTCATGGTTCATCCATATTATAGCATGTATCAGAATTTCATTGTTTTTAAGACTTAACTAATATTTTGTATAGATATACCATATTTTGTTTATCCATTTGTCTATTGGTGGCCATTTGGGTTGTTTCCACCTTTGTAGTTTTGTTTTTAAATGACTGTGCTTTTGAGATCTGGTTTGAACTCAGGCCCTTCACACCTAGAAAGATTTCATGGCAACAGAGAATCCAGAGTGAGAATGAAGGAGAGGGAGACAAGTCAGCAGTGCTGCCTAGTGTGTCTTGAAGGGACAACTTTAAATAAGAATGCAGAAAACCTACCTGGCCTGTGTGGCTCAGTGGTTGAGCATCGACTCATGCACCAAGAGGTCACCGGTTCAGTTTCCGGTCAGGCACATAGCCAGGTTGTGGGTCAAATCCCCAGTGGGGGGGTAGGCATGCAGGAGGCAGCCAATCAATGTTCTCTCTCATCGATATTTCTATCTTTCTCTCCTTTTCCCTTCTTCTCTCTCTAAATCAATAAAGAAAATAAATAAATAAATAGGCCCTGGCCAGTTTGGCTCAGTGGTTGGAGCATCGGCCTGCGGACCAGAGAGTCCTGGATTCGGTTCCCACTGGGGGCATGTACCAAAAAAAGAGAGAGAGAATAAAATGTCTTTTAAAAATAAATAAATAAATAAATAAATAAATAAATAAACAAATAAATAAACAAACAAACAAACATGATACATTAAAAAAAAAAAGAATGCAGAAAACCAATTTTTTTTTAAGGATCTTGATTTTTTTTCTCCAAATCTTGTTTTTCTCTCTATCTTTCTCCCTGGTCAATCACCTAATGAAAGTAGAGAAGCAGTAAAAACAATTGATAACTAACTGACTATTTCTCTTCTAATTCTTCTGCTGATGTGGATATGTTTGTTTTGGTTTTGGTTTTGCCTTATTTTGGTTTTTACTGCTTAGGAAGCATATAGTCTACCTCTTACTGTGACATTGCTTTTCTGTAAGTTTAGCATAATTTAGATGAGATCTATTGGATTATTTATACACATGGAATTAATTTATTTATTTATTTACTGACAGACATATTCTTCAAAACCTACTCTGAGCCAACTGTGCCAGCAGGAGGGTCTAATGCCTTGTCAAAAATTAAACATTCAGCCTAGCTGGTGTGGCTCAAGGGTTGAGCATCAACCTATGCACCAGGAGGTTCTCGGTTGGATTCCTGGTCAGGGTACATGCCTGGGTTTCGGGCTTAATCCCCAGTGGGAGGGCTGCAGGAGGCGGCTAATCGATGTTTCCCTTGTCATCAATGTTGTTATCTCTCTCTCCTTCTCCCTTCCTCTCTATGAATCAATAAAACTTATATTTTTCTTAATTATTTACAGTCGTCCCTCATCACTTCGTGCTTCGACTTTCTTGGCTTCACTAAATACCACGATAGAGTGAAGCCAGGAAAGTCGAAGCTCGAAGTGGGGAGGACGACTGTATATAAATAAAGATTCCTACTTCCAGAAATTCATTTATCCAGTAGAGTCTGGAACTGATTAACCGCGATAAATGAGGGCCGGCTGTAATTAAACATTCATCCTCAGAAGATACAATTAAACTACATGTGGCTTGATATTAAGAAGCTGGCCTGGCTGTGGGGTAAAGAACTTGTGGCCCCATCATTGGGACAAAACTTTTTTTCATGCCAGTGTAACAATCTCATAAAGCCATAGTTTAGTAGCAAAAAAGTGTTTGCAGGGCTATCTTTCATCATTATTGGTATTTTGTCCTTTGGTTTGAACATGTTTACCTGGTTGATCTTCCTGTCAAGTTCCACCTTCAAAGAGAAGCAACTCCATGGCAAGTACAGGTCACTTACATGCAAGTGGTTGAACAGTTACAATGGAACTCACAGAAGACTCTGTCATGTTACTGTAGTTTACATTCTGCCTTCACTGTTGCCCGGATTCAAGCAGGGCAGAGCCTGTGCTCCACCAGATCTGTAGCGAGCTGGTCACTGCTAACCATCTCAGACTGAACGTTTCCCTTGTGCAAGTTTGCCCCTGACCTGGAAAGGCTAATTGGGCTGCCTTCTGAGCTCTGTTGATCTGTTCGAGTCTTGCTACCTCAGACAGGTTTATTCTGTTTGTTCTCTCTTGCCCTCAGACCATCATCTGCCAATAGCATAAGCAGCACCACATCTTCAAATCACAGTGGCTGCCCTCTGGAACCCCCTCTGCCCCCAGCTGGAGGTGACCTCGCCAGCCGACTGTCAAGTGATGAAGGGGAGATGGACGGAGCTGACGAATCCGAGAAGTTAGACTATCAATTCTCCACCCATCACCCTAGACCTCTTGCGGTAGGCCACCTGATTTTCCTCCATGCGTTTTCCCCCTGTGCTTTGAGGGTGTTCAGATGATTGTGTTAGAGGGCACAATCCTAAAGAGAGGTCGTCAGGACAATGTTTTATGGGAAGGCTTACCCTAAGGCTGAATGATTGCCTTAGAAATACCCTTGAAAATCACAGAAAGAAAGTAAAGGGTTCCTGGTTCATTATAATCTTTTAAACACCTAAGTATTTGTGGCCCACCTTGAAGCACTGATGCTTGAGAAATGGTGTTTATGTAAGTGCACTGGGGAACTGACCTTCCCGCTCTGCCCATTTTCAAAACACAGCCTCTGATTTCGAGAGTTAGTCTAGCTCACCTGCATTAGGAACCGTCTGTCTTAGCAGTGTGACAAGTGCCACACTACTGGTTTTCTCCCCTGTTGGTTCTGAGTTTTATTGTTATTAGTAAGTGTGACCATATGGCACTGGTATTGTGTGTGTGTGTGTGTGTGTGTGTGAGTGTGTGAGTGTGTGTTAAGAAAAGAGGAGGCATTTCATGTCAGCATAGTTGCTAATGAACAGAAAGGTCAATGTCTTCCCAATCCTTGAAAGAATCCACTTCAACAATTCAGATCATTGACATCGAGGTGGGAAACACAAGGACACAGGAGCTGGAGGCTTGTTTATGTTTGCCATATGAGCACTTGAGAATGAGATGCCTGGTGCTACCATCGCTACCATCAGGGAGCTGAATGCTGGGGGCCTACAACATGGGGCCCATGTCTGGTTTCCTCTGATTTCTGTAGGAATAGTTTTGACTCTTCCTAGAGTTCATGGACTATGTAGTTGAAATCTACTTGCATCAAGATAGAGTGACTCCCTCCTCCCTTCTGTCTATGATATGAATGAAGGTCAAATTCACTTCCTGTGATGGGAATGACAGTGACCTGTGGCTCACTAACAGCCTGAGACTTTGCCTCTTAGCTAATTCAGAAATAATGAGAGATCATTAGGAATGCCTTTGACTGCCAGTAACAGAAAATTCAACTCATACAGTGCATGCACTACAATCATGTAATTATTTCATATAACAAGAGTCTAGAGGTAGGTGGTTCCAAGCTGAGGGACACTCTGTGCAACCCTCTTCACCTTTCACACATGGTCTCAGGATGTCTGCCACATCTCCAGTCCTCACCCAGTAGCATTTTACACAGGGTGGAAAGGGAGAAACAGAAAGGGAGTCTTCTCCTAAGATGCTATCTTATAACATTTTGTAGGGAAGAAAACCTTCCTGTGAACCCCCCAGCAAATGTCCCCTTACATCTACCAGAAGTGGGTCACATGCCCACCCCTATACCACTCGACAGCAGAGAAGGATGGGATTGCAGTGACAGGGGATGAAGCCAGCCATGATTCATCCCAAGGGTCTGGTAAGAGACCCACCTTCCCTGCTCACTGCTCCATGTCACATATCAGAACATATGGTTCTGTTACCAAGGAAGAGGCAGGGAGAGGTGGGAGTGGGGTGGCAGCTGACGAGATTGGCAACCTGTGGTGTCTGCCACAGTGGCCAGTGCAGCGAGGATCTGCAGCTCTGCCAATATGCGACCAGAAACAAGAGCCTCTCGGGGCCCCTGGCCTTGCATCTGTATGGAATTAGAGACATAGGCAGTAAAGACAGCAAGGTGCCTCCAGCTTCCAAGTTGGAAACAGAGGTCGGGCTCTACCAGAAGGCCAGAGTCCGGAGCACATCAAGATCTCTATCCAGCCTGGCGTGGCTGGGTGGTTCAGTTGCTTGGGTGTCATCCTGTGCACTAAAAGGTCACCAGTTTGATTCCTGGTCAAGGCACATGCCCAGGTTGTGAGCTCCATCTCCTGCAGGGGGTATGCAGGAGGCAGCCAATCAATATTGTGCTCTCTCGTCAATGTTTTTCTCTCTCTCCCTCTCCCTTTCTCTCTTTCTGAAAATCAATTTAAAAACCTTGCCCTGGCTGGTTTGGCTCAGCGGTTAGAGTGGCAGCCTGCAGACCAGAGAGTCCCCGGTTCAGTTCCCGCTAAGGGCACGTACCTTGGTTGTAGTTTGTCCCCAGCCTAGGTTGGGGTTGTGTGGGTGGCAACCAGTTGATGTGTCTCTCTCACATCAATGTTTCTCTCTCTCTCTTCCCCTTTCTCTCCCTCTCGCTCTATCTGAAGGTAAATGCAAAAAAGGTCCTCAGGTGAGGATTAAAAAAAATCTTTAACAACAAAAAATTAACAGCTCTGGTAATCACCAAAAAGAGCAGTTATTTATTTTTTTAAAAAATATGTCCAAATGACAAGCTGCCAGGCTACAGAGAACCCACTCAACTATGGGCCCAGAGGATCTGTGCCCTTAATATTTTGCTGACTTAAATGGAAAGGCCGTGGATTTGTTTCTTTGCTTTGTCCTTTCTCTCGTGGTCTGTTGCTGTATTAAATCATTTTCGTAATGAACACTCATTCAGTGTGTCTTTAGCAACTGGGATGAAGGAATAAAAGATGTCTAGACCTGGAACAGCTCCCACATGAAGCTGGGGACCGGCGTCCATGCTGGGGAATTCCCTTTGTATGTTTTCTTGCTCGGTTAATAAGCACTTAATATGAAAGGGCAGAAAGGAGTCTCTTATCACAAGTACCAGATTTGATGGGTGGCAGTATTTTAATGCAAAACCCCCAAAACGTAAGTAGAAACAAAACAAAGGAAAGGGCTTGCATTTGCCCCTGAGAACTGTTCCAAAGGCAGTTCCAGGAAGGGCCTGTGGAATGAGAGCCGACCCGGCACAGGGCCTGGGACGGAGGCCAGCAGTGCCGGGAGGCCTGGGGAAAGGAGAGAAGCTGCATTCGAGTTATAGAGTCATTTCAGCTCTAGACAGCCAAACGTCACCTTCCCAGAGCCTACTTCTTGTACTTCTGGTTGTCCTGACATCACAATAAAATGTTTATTAAACATCTAACTGCCCATATTTCAGCCATATGTCTTAAATGTGGTGGTTTGATTTAAACATTTTGTGGGACTTTATCTCTCCAATCCATCATTTAGCCCAAATTCCTACTATCCTCCTATGTAGAAAGAAAAAGTGGGGTCCCTGGCCTTTATACATTTATAATCGAGTCAGGCACATAGGTGTTACATACAACATAAAACTGTGCCGTGAATCCAAGGTGAACTGTAATATAATAGGCAATATATGTGCCTTGACAGTTCATAGTGGCAAGGTTACTCAGATAAAGGGCATTGGAAACAAGCCTTGATCAGGCCACTGAAGGAGGGGAGACTTGGGACTGACAGAAAAGAGGGAAGAAGACAGTCACACAAACAACATGAGTAGAAGCTTCAAGGCGGTGATGTGTCCCTGGGCAGCCCACACACGCTGACAGGAGAGGAGAGGAGGTCAGGCCTGGAAAGGAGGAGTGTAGCCTGGTTAAAAGTGAGGTGTCTTGTTGACAACAGATAAGAAAGTTATGATCGGTTGGCAGAAGAACATCAGAATGAGGTTTTTGCGTTACTGTGATAAGGTGCAAAGAACCACCAAATTCCTTAAGAAGATGGAGGAGTCCTGGCCAGTGTGGCTCAGCTGGTTGGGCATTGTCTGTGCATGGAAAGGTTGCTGGTATAATTCCCGATGGGGGGCATACAGGAGACAGCCGACCTATGTTTCTCTCCCACATCGATGTTTCTCTCTCCCATCCTCTCTCTAAAAATTGATAAAAAATCTTTTAAAAACAGATTGATGATTCCATAACAGGTGGCTCTGAAAAATCATCCTGGCTGCTGGTTGTTGTTGGTTTGGGTTTCTTCAACCTAAAATGTTGGCTCAATCCTAGATGTAGAGAAGGTAGCCCTCTGTGCCACAGAAAATTAAATGTTACTATTGTTGAGTCATAATGTGATGTTCTGCAGAAAATCTAGAGCTCAAACTAAGGCACCACAGAAATATTTTTGGTTTTAGTGCTATTTGCTTCCTTATTTTGAGTAAAATTGTGCCCCTGTGTGTTTTTATGCAAATGTTATTTTTCTCTGTATGGTTTATATTAGCTTAGTAACCTGTAATCAAAATAAAAATTTTTTTCTCTTCACAGTTTTGCTCTTTTGGGAGTCGCCTCATGGGACGAGGGTACTATGTGTTTGATAGAAGATGGGATCGTTTTCGATTCGCACTAAACTCCATGGTAGAAAAACACTTGAATTCACAGATGTGGAAGTAAGTGAGCAGTTTTTGTGCATTATGAGATCAGAACTGCCCTGCAACCATCTTAACCCCAACTTTCTAAATGATTATCAGTTGTTGGCTTTTCATAGAACAAAATGATTCTGAAGTCAGGATTCATGATAAAGTCTTAAATGTCAGCTCTTAATGTCTTGCCTACAGTTTTTCAGAGACATATATATGGTGTGTGTTATGCTTTGCCTTCTTTGGAGACCATTTTTGTGTTGGTAATCTTCTAAATGAAAAAGGTATTTGATAAGATCTTATTTATTTAACAGTGATAAAGGGACTTTTTGCTGTAAGAACATCTAAGGATATTAAGAATATGTTTCTGTTTGTAATGTTAAGGCTCTAATGTCAATACTAAAAATTTCATAATGGTTATGGACCAATTTCTAATTGCTTAATGTCCTATGAAAAAAATATATACATCGGCCAACAGGGCAGATCCTGAGAGATGTCGTGAAGTTGGTTAAGCTCGTCTCTGGCCCCTCCCCCTCCCCGGAACACCCTCCTCACCTCTGCTCACACTTCTCTCTCACCTAAACCCAGCATATGTTCCACTTCTCTAATGTCCCTTTATTCTCCAACACCTCTCAATGTATTTACATTTTCATAGGAATTTCATTAAAAAGGAAGAAACCTTCTTGACTTAGGAAAATGCTATTGTGAAGGAATGGCAGGCTAGACCCTCTCAAAGTACAGCACATAAGAAACTGCCATTCTGGCCACTTGATAATGCAAGACTAGCCTGCTGCTAGCCACCCCCACCCCTACAAAGGTGAGCCCTTAAGATATCATAACTTGTTAGAATCATAGCTCCCTCGGATCTAAGCCCAGATGGTTCAGGAAAGCCAACTCTGAACCCCTCACCCTGCCCAGTGAAACCCTGAGAAATGAGAGGGTACTGGCAGTGGTGATGAGAACAGAATTCAGTGCTTGCCCCTCTCCCAGGCAGCTGTGATGCCTCTTTTCATCATGATGCCCAAAGCACTTCCAGACCTGAACTTCTAGGAGGAGTAAGCTCCATTGTTTCTGCTGTAAGCTCTCATGGTGGACTTAGAACTAAATGTCAACACTTCCTGTGAAGTATGAAAGGGCCATAAGAGAAACTTATCATTTCTTCCTGTTTAAGTGACTGCCCAGTGTGTCTAAAAGGCACCCTTGATGCCTATTTGCATCCATCCTAAACAGCAACATATCAGGACTGCGTGTAGGCTTACCATGTTCATGGTTATTTGTTCATTTATCCTGAGATGACCCAAGCTGGCAGCCAGCCCTGGTGATTCTCGTAGCTCTTTGCTCTCCTGTGTTGTGGAAGTGTAAACCCAGGCACGTGGAAGGAATGTATTGATCTGTATTTCGCTACCTGGTGTCCTGTCAGCTCAAGCTCCATATTCCTTTCCTCCTCAGGCACAGAAACCCGAGCCACAGGGCATCAGGTCCCTCCCCCCTTTTCAGGACTTGCCTAACCAATCTACTGTCACTGAGCAACATTGGGGCTGCCTGGGTGTCAACTCTGGAGAGCGTAGCACCCCGCTGCCCTCTCAACCTCGCTGCCCAAACCCCAGGCCCGGACAGGCCCGAACCTGGAGGGATGGCAGCCGATGAGGGCGTGGAAGACATTAGGAAGAAAAGAAACGGCCAAGACTCTTTTTTCTTTAACAAGCATTTAACTCTGCATCAGGAGACGCCAACACAGTATTCTCTTTCAGCCAGGTCAGCATCTGGAGCTCCATGCCAGCTGGCAGGGGAGGATGGGCACTGTCAGTAACTTATTCGCATCTGTGGGCTTTTTATGGGACTTCCCTAGGCCAGCGTGCAAGACGTAAACCAGGCACAGCCCGCAAAGCTGAAATCCACTGCCATTTGGCCCCTAGACAGATGCATAAACTGCTTAGCATGGGAGGAAGGGGGTCGTGGGGACAGTGAGCAGCCACATGGCCCTTGCCCAGCATCCCCCTGCCTTTCTCCCCTCCTGCCTCTGCTATCCACTTAGGATTCGTAAGACAGGAAGGAAAGGGAGAAAAGTATGCCAAAAAATAGCCCCCACCCCAATCCTGAGTGTCAGCGAGGCAAGATTAAGGACTTCAGCTCAGCTTGTCAGAACAAGCTGAAGCATAAATTTATACTGAGTGGAAAAATTACAAATTGGGACATTCAGAGTAGATCCCAGTTAAGGTCATCAAATGAGGTCCTCTCTAAATGAGCCATCTGGTATTTCTAAATAACTTTTTATTACAAGTAACTGCCAAACCTCTGCCCATATGTATTTCTATCTAGACTTTAGCTGGTAAGAAACTTGAGCCGAGAGACGATTGAGCAGGAGGCCTGCAGTCCACAGCAAGGCAGCCAAGACAGCAGGGCAAGTGTGCTGACACCGCACTGCTAAGAAATGTTCCCTGGCGCTGTTGGGAGGGGTTGTGCAGGCCAGACAGTTCTGAGGGCGTGTTTAGACCTTTCTGGTCTGATTATATGGGAGTCCTTGCCCAGCATGCATAGTTCTATTGCTACTAAGCATTCACCTGCTCACCCATCCACCCACCCACCCATCCATTCATTCACTCATTCATTCATCACGATGAGTACTAGTGGAGCACTTATTTAGTGCTGACAGGATCTTCTACATTCTTTAGGCTTGAGAGCACTTAGATTTTCAAACACCATTATGGCTACATTTTTCTCATCTCTGATCTCCTCATTCTGATGTTTTCAAGGACTCTGTCTATGTGCAAGGATTCCTCTGGATTCCACCCTAAAGATCGAAGCTGTTGCTTCACCCAACTGTCGGCAAAAACTGAATCCTGAGAGAGCAGCACTAGGAGAGACATTTCCTTGTAGCAGGGCCTCTCTCCAGAGTTCCCTGGTGCCGCAGCTGGGAGGATGGCCTCCCAGCAGAGAAGGGACTGGAAGCCTCATCTCACACCTTGCTTCAAGCTCCTGGGGTACCCGTCCCACGCCTGCCCACCTTTGAGTTCTGCTTTCGAATTAGGAGAGTGATTTCCTCACCGCTGTGGAGCCCCGGCTATGCTGGAAACGATTCCCAGGGGACACAGGGAAAGAGCAAGATGAGAAATAAAAAAGAGCCAGTTTAACAATATTTACCCAGCTCTTGAAGTCAGTATTTTTCCTGAAGATCAGGAACAATGTGACCTCAAAGCCTCTGTGTTCCTCCTGGTCCCCAGAGTAGCAGCAACATCAACCCAGGCCATGGTCTGGAAGTGGGAGCTGTTTCCAGCACAAGTCCAAAGATGGGCTTGCAGGAGGCCCCAAGGGTGGCCACCACCAGGTGCTGCCCTTAGCTCCACAGAATATAAGAGGCATGGGGTTTGCTCCCAGGCACCCCCAACCTCCGGGAAGACCTTTCCCATCCATATGTTCTCCTGTGCCCATACCCTGCATTTGTCTTCAGAACAAACTAGAAATTCTTGACCACCTTTTCTGGATACATGAGGGTCCCTGTACTCTCACCCCTTCCTAATGCAGGGACAAGAAGACCTGTTGGAGGGCAGCCACACCCTAATTACAGCTCCTCTGAGTGAAAGCTGAGATAGGTGGAGTGGACAGGAAAAAAGTCAGTCCTGGGTCTGGGCAAGTGGACATCTGCATCGTTTCCCAAGCCCCGACCCTCCACCGCCCTGCAGCCTCCATGGCCTGGCCAACCATCGCCAGTGGCCACAAGCCAACATGGAAAGGCGACAGACAGGAAGCGCAGAAGGAGTTTGGCCTGTGAGGAGAGGGGTATCCCACTCTGCCTGAAGCCTTGAGCAGGGTGGGGAGGCAGGGGACCGGCAGGGGCAGAGGCTGTCCTCACAATTCTTACTTCAAGCCAGCACCTAAGTGTGAAATGACCACTTCTCATTAAAAAGCGCCTTCATCACTACCAAAAAAGGAAAAGAACACTGCTGGGGAAATTTGTATTCTAAATCACATTCGCCTTTTATTCATGAACCCAAATCAGCCATTATCCAGTAGCCAAGCATGGAGGAAAGGACCTAAAAACCTGAATGTGCTTGAAAACAGGTTGCTGATATTGCAGTGGGGGAGTCCCAGGGAAGGGCCATGATTCAGATGTTGCCATCCTTCAAGGCTGCATTTTCCATAGTCTGGTTCTACCGGGGTTTTCCTCGTAGCCCTGATGCTCACACTTAATCGCGCCTCTGAGGAATGCCAAGCCTGTTTCTCACTGTGTCTCTTTCACTCTTCTCTCACGTTTAGGAAGATCCCTCCTGCGGCAGATAGCCCCATGCCCTCGCCAGCAGCCCACATCACCGCCCCTGTTCCAGCACCCGTTTCACAGCCTTTCAGCAGCCCCAGTGCTATGTATCTTCCTTCAGCTCCCATCAGCTCAAGGCTCACCTCTTCTTACATAATGACATCAGCCATGCTCTCAAACGCAGCTTTTGTGACATCGCCGGACCCAAGCGCCCTCATGTCACACACCACAGCTTTCCCTCATGTGGCTGCAACCCTCAGCATCATGGACTCAACCTTCAAGGCCCCATCCACCGTGTCCCCGATACCAGCCGTCATCCCTTCCCCATCCCACAAGCCATCCAAAACCAAAACCAGCAAATCCTCAAAAGTCAAAGACCTGTCTGCCCGTAGCGACGAGTCTCCAAGTAACAAAAAGAGGAAGCCGCAGTCCTCGACTTCCTCCTCCTCCTCATTCCCCTTGCAGACATCCCTCTCGTCTCCATTATCAGGGCCCCACAAAAAGAACTGTGTTTTGAATGCCAGTTCAGCTTTGAACTCCTATCAGGCGGCTCTTCCCTATAACAGTCTGTCCGTGCACAGCTCAAACAATGGGGTGAGCCCACTCAGTGCCAAACTGGAGCCCTCAGGACGGACCTCGCTGCCCAGCGGCCCGGCGGACATAGGGAGACACATGGGCTCGGTGGGCAGCAGCAGTGACCCCTGTCCCCTCTCGGTGCCCTCCCTTGCAGGAGACCTCTCTTTGGCCCCACACAATGCCGTGTCTTCTCTGCCCCTCTCTTTTGACAAATCAGAAGGAAAAAAGCGTAAGAACTCAAGTTCTAGTAGCAAAGCCTGTAAAATCACTAAAATGCCTGGTATGAATAGTGTTCACAAAAAGAACCCACCCAGCCTTCTCACGATGATGCCCGATCCCGTTAACAGCACCTCCTCTCGGCAGGTAAGGGACCCGTCCTGCCGGGGGCTTCCTGGCACTGCCTTCTCAGTCCCAGGGCAGGGGGAGCTGGGCAGTGCCCCTGCTTAGCCAGGTGACTCTGTCTCATTTTCTCATAGGCGATCGTTCCTCTGCTATGAGAGCAGTTTATTTAACATATACTTTCTATAGTGCTCGATAAGTGCTAGGTGCTATTCTAAGCACTGTGCAAATATTTTTTTATTTAATCCTCACAACAACCCAGTGCATTTGGTACCGTTGTTAGCACCACCTTACAGATGAGGAAACCGAGACACAGAGAGATTCTGAGTTCCCCACTCTGCTTCTACTTTATATCTTGAGGTTCTGAGGATGACGTTATTAAAGAATTCTGTCACCAAGAAGTTTTATCTGATCTGTTGGGATCCCCTTAGGAAGAGCTGAGCCCCTGGCAGGTTAAATGATGACTTGGGTCCCAACTCGGGGATGATAGCTTGTGCTTCCAGCTCCCAGTGACTGCTCTCACTTTACCTGGCTGCCTTGATGCCCCCCCCCCCCCACTGATATACCTTTTTTTTTCCAAAAGTAAAACCAACTCACAGCGGCTGGCACAGTGTTAGTTTTACACCATTGCACAGATAGGACAGTGTTGTGAAGAAAACGATGGGAAGGTCCAAGAAGAGTCTGTGTTTCTTTCCCTGAGTTCTCTTCACAGCCTCCAGTCTAGTCTGTCTCCTCAGGCTGGGGAAGTTACCTAGGAAAAGCCCCACCCCCATCAAACTCAGATGCCCTTTGGGCTCAGAGGAGAGAGCAGAGTCAGAGAGGATGAGTCCAGCAGGAGGGCCAAGTCCACAGGATTGCCCACGGGCCTTCCCTGTGTCAGGACAGTGTGCAGACTGTGGCAGGAGCCCCAGGTTCACAACCACAGAGTTAAGTGGGCTGGACCCTAATCCCAGCCCCATCTGGGGATGAGGACTTGGGAGAGATGAGAGGCAATTGTTAAAAAAATGTTTTATTATTTTATGTCATCTTTATATGAGACTTATTAAAACCTCATGAAGAGAGAACATCCTGAGGGGTATTCACAAATCACAAGTAAACACTTGAGAAACAGTAAGTTTGGATCCCAAGGGCCAGACAAGCTGCAACCAAGGCCAAGGTGAGAGAGGGGGAGACATAGGTCATCATACTAGAGCCCGGCCCCTCGCACATGCGTGCAGCTGCCGCCGATGTGCTACCTTCTGACTCCTCGGTTCCAGGGGTCCATGGGGAGGGGGGCCGGCACCCACAGAGCCCTACGCTGAGACTCAAGTGTGGGTCAGTGCCACCTCCAGGTCCCAGGATAGAGGGCACAGCCAGGACTTCTGAAAATCAAATGTGCACATGAATTACCTGGGGGTTTGTTAAAATGCAGGTTCTGAGTCAGCAGGTCTGGGGTGGGGCCTGAGAGTCTGCATTGCTAACAGTCCACTGGTTTGCAGGCCACACCCTGAGCTGTAAGGCTACAGTGTCACCCGTTTTAGATAAAGTCCTAGCAGCTAACACTTAGGGGGTGGGCTCTGTCCCCGCTACTTCAGATATATTTAATTCACTTAATCATTACCTGTTATTACCACCCTTTTATAGATGAGTAAACCAAGGCACAGGGAGGTTAAGTAATGTGCCCAAAGTCACACAGCAAGTAAATAGTAGGGCTGGGATTTAAACCAGGCAATTTAGCTCTGGAGTCTGACTCTTAACCCCCATGCCTCTGGGTTAGTGGAGTGCCTCTGCGTTGAGTAAATACTGCTCTGTTGACTCTCTGGTCTGTAGGAGCATATGAAATGTTCAGTAAACACTGTGAATCTGTCACCACCCGTGGTGAGAGGAGCAGACAAGCCTCCTCCTGCAAGGAGGAAGGAAATCAAAAAAGCTGATAAATTTAACAGCTGCCTTGGATCTAGCCTGCATTGGTTCTGTAATGCAGGTGATACCTGGGTGCTTGTCACCAGGACATTAAGAAAAGGCTTTGTCCAGGGTGACCACTGGTGATTTCCAAATGTTGGGGGAAAGCCTTAGGAATCTGGGTTGATTCTCTTAGAAAATTGGAAGGGGCATGGCATTAGGTTGAAAAATTCAAGGTAAACATGTGCTTTGGGGACCAATTCAGGGTTTTTTTTCATTGTATCTGGTAGGTGTAAGGCCAGAATTTACAACAGAAGTATTAAATTAAACAAAAGACTGAACATGTAAGGCAAATGTCTTTGTGCAAAGTTGAGTTAATGTGGAAGACCAGCTCTTTCTAGGCCAAAGGCAGGAGCTGCCTGTGCAAGGTACTCACCTGAAGACCCAGCCCAGTATGTGCCAAGAACAGCCATTGAGGAAGGGGACAAGGGGGATAGCCACACCCACATGCCCCAGTGCACTGTCCAAGGACCCAGCTCAGTCTCCCACTTGAAAGGGAAGCCCAGTGTCATCTTGCTATTTTCTCAGGAACAATAAGGTTTGCACTGTGTCTCTTAGCTGAGAAAACTGACCCAGAAAAAGAGTCTGAGCTAGAAACAAGATGGGTCTAGAACTGAGCTCAGAAGTAGAGGATTTTGTCGAACTCTCCGGCCACAAATGAAAAAGCCAGGCTTTTGCTGAGTTAAATGCTCCCGGAGGGGGGGAGGGGGGGGAGGGGCAGGCCTCTAGCCAGATGCCTTTGTCCTCATCCCTAAAACTCCCAGTATCCACATCTGGGAAGCAGAATAAGAGTTCCCCTCTATTATGCTTTCCCTCTGGGGTGAGAGGGACATCATCAAGGTACGCCCTGAAACATTTTCATTTTCTCTGCCATTTTAAATGGAAACACAAGGTCCACATGGACGTGAGGAGAATGAGCCTCACGCAGCCCTTCTCCTTTCCCTAGTAGCACGTGGTATCGGTGGGCCTTTCCCGAGCCAGCTCGTGTGTCTGAGTAGGGCTTCGCTGGTGTCTTTCAGGTTGGGAAAAATAGCAGCCTAGCTTTATCACAATCCAGCCCTTCAAGCATATCCAGCCCAGGACACAGCCGACAGGTAAGTTACTGGGGGGCAAACGTACATAGGGTCATCAGCAGGGTGGAAAGAATGTGGGTACTGGGGTCAGACCCTGGTTCAGATCTCATCTCCAGTTAAGAGCATGGCTGTCTGGCTTCCAAAGCTAGTAGTTATTAGCTGTGTGCCCTTGGGAAAGTTACTTAACTCCTCTGTGCTTCAGTTTTCTCACCATAAAATGGGGATCATAATGATCCTTATCTCATATGGCTTTTGTGAGGATTAAATTGATTTATTCATGTTAAGCCTCTAGAAAACACCCGGTATAACACACAAGTATTAGCTATTATTATCATTAGCAGCTGTGCACTATTAGGCAGATTACATTGCATCTATTTTTTTTTTTTTTTTCATCTCTTAAATGGTAAAGTCAATGCCTGCCTCCTAAGGTTATTGTGAAGATGAAATAAGATGACATTGACTAAAGGGCCCTGCTAGTGGCAGGTATCTGCCGGTGCTTTCCCAAGGCCTCTGGGGAGCTGCAGCTACCACTCAGGGTGTGGTTTCATGCTGCGAATATTCAGGGTAGAATTAGGAGTTATTATAAACTTGAGGTGTAGAGTAGTCAGTGTATAAATGATTTTCTCCAATGGAGTGTGTGTGGTCGGGGGGTGGGGGCAGAGCATAGGAGGCGTGGTTCTGCACGTTATACAGGATTGGAAAACACACAGACATGGCTGTGTTGTGTAGTTTTACATGTGTTGTAGGTTTTGTGGATAATAAATTGCAGTGTGTCTGCATTTTGGGGTTTCCCTATAAATCTGGAGTAGAGTTTGGGTAAAGGTTATAGGGAAACAGTCTTTGTATCCTCAGATCAAGGAGAGTGTCTCCATTATATTGAGTCACTATGGCCCTTTTTGGGCCTGAGCACCTGCCACCGATCCTCGGTGCCGGAGGGCTCCGGGCTCGTCCATGCTCAGGCAGTCTGCCTCTATCTATGGCAGGCCTCCTGCGCAGGTGGCTGAGTGCGCCCGCCCAGAGCTCCAGGCACACCTGTGGGAACCCGAAGGGCTGGCTGTCGGCCGTAACAGATGTGGGTATGGTAATGATAACAGCTGCGGGTCGTGGAGCCCTTTCTCTGCAGGTCCTGTGCTAAATGCCCTTTACATACACTTAAACTTTTAACAAACACTGTGAGAGACAAAATTAGCATCCTCATTTTATATGTGAAGGTGACTGGACTCAGAGGCTAAGTAACTTGAACCCAAAATCTCTGTCTCCAAAGTCTCTATGCTTAACCCAACAGTCTGCTCTTCCTTAGGTGATTGTCTATGCTATCTGTAGGTTAGATAGGAAATACCCCATGTGAACTAATAGAGAAAAAAAAGGACGACAGATCATTTACTCTGGTTCTCCCTCCTGGAGAGAACCCATGAATTCCACAGGAATTCTCCCTGCATTTTCCTCCACAGCTAGGATCCTTGCTGCTACCCTGCATTTACGGAGTCCTTTACAGCCAGCCCCTCATTTGCCCATTACAGCTGCCTTTTGCCGAATGCAGGAGTTGGGATGGTATCCTTTTTGTTATAGATGAGAAATTTTACTCTGTTCTCGAATCCTCGTGGTAATCCAACCTTTCCTTTCCTTTTCTTTTCTTTTCTAGAAGACCACAAACAGGACGGGCAGGATAAGGACTCTTCCATAACAAGACTATGAAGCCACTTCCAAACCAATGTCTGGCCACCCAGTCCCAGCCCCAGAGGCCAAGTCGGGGAGGGGAGTGGGCAGTGGGGGAATCCATTTCCTGGGCCCTGCCTGTGGCTCTGGCCTTTCTTTTTCTTTTTTTAATGACCAATTTTTAGTTTTGGAGAAAAAGAAAAAGGCAAAAGAACGTGAATTTGAGATTTACAGAAAACAATACCAGTGTTTTGTTTTCTTTGTCTTTCATTTGCCACACATACACATTCTTCCAGTCCTGGGGTCACTCCTCCAGCTTCTGATTCAGCTGCTGCACCTGGTTTTGCTCCAGCCAGAAGAGCAGACAGTGCCGGACGCCAGCTCCTGGTGGCATCGTGGGGAGCTCTTGAACTTGAGCACACGCAGTGCTCCTTTCCTTTCCAGTCCTCACCACCCATCCCTCTCCTCCTCCCTGCCACTCACTGGGTCCCCAAGACCACCAGAAGAAGCTGCCTCTCATAAGCTGGCCTCTGGACAGTGCCCTGGGAGAGGGGCTTTGCTGTGGAGCAGCCTGTGTTTGGGGAGCAGAGAGCAGAGGCAGGAGGGTAGCCAAGTGCACTCAGCAGGTTTCCGTAGCGCACCAGCACTGGAGCCCATGCTGAGAAGAGGAACCTTTTAATGATGTGGTTTACCCCGTACCACTGTCCAGCTATGCAGCTCAGAGAGGATATATTGGGCCAGGTCTGCAACAGGCCGGGGAGGTGGCAGGAAGCAGCGAATGAGGGTAGGAGATAGCCCTCAAAAGATAGTCAGACCTGGATGCCTGAGGTCATCTGAATTTGTTAGGAATCCATGCTGCAAAATCCCTTCCCGGGTGCCACATACAAGGTCCCAAAGCTGAGCAAGCCAGAGTGAAACGTCCCAAGGGAATGGGTGGGAGACCCCAGGAAGCCACTGTGAAGAAGGTAAAGTGCCCACAGCTGTGGAGATGCTCGAGCCTCCCTCCAGGGCTAGGCAAGAGGAGAAAAAGGAAGGGAAGGAAGGGCCTAGGGGAAAGCTTCCATGGAGGGCTATGTGTCATACCTCTGGTGAGAATGAATACCAGCATGGTTCACCCATCTCTGTGCCCTGGGCCACAAGGTCCTGGGAATCAGGGCACCCATACAGCAAGTATGCTGGGTTATCAGAGGCTCCAACTCAGATACAGCCACCCCAGCAAGCTGCTGGTGGCACAGCCAAGCTGCTGCCTAGTGAGGAATAGCCACTGGGAAGAGAGAAGCTGGAGCCCTGCAGCTATGAAATTGTTCACACTGGAATTTTGAAAGAAACATCAATACTGTGAGCTCTTATCAGGAATCATAGTCAGGAAAGGAACTCGCAATATAAAAGAAATGTTCTGTGCTATTTATCATGTAACTTTGCAAACAATATAACAGCACAGATACTAGGAGTTTCACTTCGTCCCTAAATCAGAAATGAAAGCCAGTTTTTCAGCTGGACACAAACCCTCATTTCCACCCCGAAGTTTTCTCTTCTCTCTATCCCCCAACCCAAAGATCAGACTACTGCTAAGTTTCACCACAGAATTGAATTTCACTAAGACGGGAGGCAAGTGGAGTGATTTGCATCAATGAAATTGCACTGACAGTGTTTCTTATAGGATTACTACAATTTTTTAATATAAAGATTTTTTTTAAAATCATGAGTTGGTATTAGGTACCAGGACATTAGTTCAGATTATTTCATTTTTATTTCTACAGTGTTAAAGTGCACTTATATGCTGGTTTATTTACATCTTGGGGAAAAGAGACTGCAAATTGAAGGGAGGATTGTTACTTTTTCTTTTTTTAAAAAAAAGGTTAAGGCAGATTTAAGACTTATAAATGTTTAAGAAATTATAAACAAGATTAGAACCTTTGAAAAAAATTTAGAAGATATTCTTAAAGTAAATTTTTATAGTGTTAATTTTGTAATAATTTATGTTTTACTATATTACAGAGCTAACTGACCAGAATAGTTTCAGAAACAATATGAAACTTAGGAACGTTTAAGCAATGTTTATATTTTTAAAATGTTCTTTGAATTATGTTTTTATTATACATTTCTTCAGACTGAAAGTATGTACATATCTTTGTTATTTTTGCACAATTTTGTCTTGTTTGGTTTTAGACGTCTGTTTTTTTATAATTTATTTTGAATTGTAAAACTTGCAGGAGTAAAAACAAAACAAAAAAATCTCAGCAACAAAATAACCCTCTGATTTATAAACTCTTACATTCAAAGAGGGAAACAAAGGTTGAGAGATGAAGTGGCTGCTTCTGAGAAATAACGTCTCGACAGGGACTAAAGGAGCGATTCAGTAATGGGTTTGAACGTGTTAGCTCTCTGCATCTCCGAATTGCAAGCTGGAATAAAGAGGCTCCCCACTGAATGCTGCTGACTTGGTGAAAGACTGGCTCTGACCAAGGTGAGGACATTTCTGGAAACTGAGCAAAAAGGGAAAACCCACAGTGTCTCTTCCTTCACAGTCAACCACAGGTTTACTTTGTAATGATGTATTCAAAACCCACAGCTTGAAAAATGGAATGCAAATAAAAGGTTTTCTTTGGTTTTGCTTTAATGGAGTTCAACTGGACCAGCCTATAAAGCACTATTAGGGTGATCCCCTTGGGTACTTCTGACCTGCCCACCCCACTCAGTCCTCTCTCCCAGCCCCTTGACTGCACCGCCACCCCTCCCCACCCCACCCACGCCGTTTGCCTCAAGATCTCGTGACTTGTCGCCAGCCACAGGCTCGAAAGCTCTGGTTGTTAAGCATAGCGCAATGCATAGAACTGTCAGCCATAAAAACAAAGCGACTTGGATAACTTGTATGCCTTCTTTTGTATCAATGTACCAATTGTAAATAACGCTGATCAACCTTTGTAGAGAATAGTTTATACAGCATATTCTATTATTGCTGATTCTCAGTGAACTCTTGTTTTAAAAAAGGAAGAAAAGAAATTTTCTATTTACACCTTCTATTTTGTTATGCTGTCGGCCCATGGCACTTTAACAAAACTGTGGGTTTTACGTAGCCGGTCAGTCATGGGGTATATTAAATAACTGTTGTTGCACAGACAAGAATTTGCACCTGCTCATTTGTCCTTTCCTACTACCGATTTTAGAACCTTTTCCAAAAGAATTTTGAAGAAAGCATGTCCAAACATTCTAAACAAATGCCACACTTGTGGAGTGGATTTCTTTTCTACGATCCATATTTTCTAACACTAAGAAGTATTTTCCTTCTTTGTCCCGCACCTTTATGTATTAGCACTATCAGAATTCATTCCATGCCTGTGATGTTGTAAGCAGAATAAATGTCTAAAGTGGGTGTAAATAGTAAATTCTATGGCTTACAGTTTTAAAATGGAAAGAACCAACATTTATCTATTGATACCACCATGGTTCAGCACCAGGCCTGGAGACATTCTCCAGTGAGCGATTGTATTTTTTTTTTTTTTTTTTTTTTTTTTTTGGTAACATGGCTTTGTAAATAAAATAATTTATATGTTTGTAAAACAAAGTCTTCGGGTCTTCATAAAATTTAGATTTTTTTTCTTTTCGGTTTATGTGTTCTTACCAGATGAGCCTTCCTGCTAGGACACATTTGAGGCATAGAAGAGAGTGAATTCATTCGACAAATAATTCGTGGAGCATCCTTGCCATGGCTACCCCTCAGCTAGGCATTCCGTGCTTAGAAATAGACATAGTCCCAGCCGCTTTCTGGAAGCAGCCCGTGGGAGAGACAGTTAATAAATACATGGTCAAACGTATAATTACAGATTGTGGCAAATGCTATGGTTCTTTGAGAAAGAGAAATAGGAGAAACCGACAAAGTGCGTGAGGGGAGTGCTGTCAGGCAGTTTTCTCTGAGGAAGTGAGCTGAAGACACAGGGTGGAGAGAGAATCCCAGGCAGAGATGGTCCAAGGTAGAAAAAACTTGGTAAGTTCCTAGCCCAAAGAAGATCCACTGTGGATGGAGCAGGGGGAGAGAGGTGGACAGGAGGCAAGAACAAGTTCACAGGAGGCTCTTGGAGTTTGGATGTTGTGCTTAATTCAGTGGGAATCCTTTGGAGGGCTTAAGTGGGAACACAGCACAATCTGATATGTTAAAAGATCACTCTAGCTGCTGTGTGGAGAATCAGCTGGAAACTATTGCAAGAGACCAGGTGAGACATGTTAGTGAGGTCCCAGGATGGTGAAAGCAGAAATAAAGAGAAGTGAATAGATTCAAGATATACTGTACATATTAAATTGACAAGACTTGCTTGGGAATTAGATGTGAGAGCAAGGAAAAGAATGACTCCCAGGTTTCAGATAGAGCAACCGTGTTGGGTGCAGATGCCATTTCTTCAAATGTGGAAAACCAGAAAAGGAACAGGTTTTTAGGGGGAGGGTGGGAGAAACATTTTGTGAAGATCAAAAGTTCTGTTTTGTTCACGTATGTTTGTTTATATATGAGATTACTATGAAATACTTAAACTCCTGTGTCAAGAAGGCATGGTATACACATGATGGAAGCCATCAGCAGGTCTAAGTTGGAGGCATCAGTTTGGGAATCTTTAGTAGATGGATGATATTTAGGGCCACAGGTATGGATGTGATTACGTCAGAGAACGTAGAGGGAGAAGAGCAGACCTGTAGAGGTTCGGTGGAGCAGAAAGCCAGCAAGGACTCCGAAGCTGAAGCATTCTTGAAGAGGAGCGAGAGCCAGCAGGAGTGGTTCCCTGGAAGCCAGGACCAAGGTGTTTCAAGGAGGGAACAATCAACTCAGTCAAATACTGCTGTAAAATGGAAAATGTAGATGGTATCGTGTCTGGTTTTACAAATAGAAGTCATATTAGTTTCCTAAACTGCCATAACAAATTAACACAATTTAGTGGTTTAAAACAACATAAATTTATTCTCTCAAAATTCTGGAGACCAGAAGTCCAAAATTAAGCAGGGCTGCATTCTCTCCAAGGGCTCTGGAAGAGAATCCCTCCTTGTCTCTTCCAGTTTCTTGTGACTGCCAGCAGTCCTTGGCATTCCCTGGCTTACTGATGCATCACTCCCAATTCTGCCTCCATCTTCACGTGGACATCTCCCCCGGGTTTCTTCTGTGTCTCAAACCTCCCACTGCCTCGCTCTTGTGAAGACATCTTTATTAGACTTGGGGCCAACCCTAAATCCTGGGTGATCTCATTTCAAGATTAACTTATGTAAATCTTTTTTTCCAAATAAGTTCACACTCACAGGTCTAAGAGTTAGGACTTGAACATATCTTTTAGGGGGTTATTATTCAACCCACCACAGTGACCTTAGCAAAGCATGTGTGATGGAGTAGTAGGAGCCAAGGCCAGACTGGTGCGGTGTGAAGGAAATTCAGTTGCGTAGTCCCCTTTTCTTCACACCCTCGCCAGCACGTGTTGTTTGATGATCAGATGCATGTTTTTGTTTTTGTTTGCAATTTTTATCAGTCTTTTGGTTCTATCTGACTCCATAAACAGAAAATTTTGATACACACACAGCATTAAGTAGAGGACTGAATTTCTCTGCAAAAGGACTTACCTGAAGAGGATGCTTCCAAGGTCTGCGCTCACCTTCAAATACTTGGAGGATGTTCCCACAAGGTCCAAGCTGAGCCCGGCATTGTTCAACATTTTAATTATTCAGTTGACATTCAAAGTAACCTGGTGAATTAAAGCCATGAATATAAACATGTGGCTTTATAGAATAGCGCTTACCCAAAGGAGGTTTCCGGTGCTGGAAATGTTCTGTATCTTGACCTAGGAGCTTGTTAAATGAATGAAATAATTGGTGAAATGAATATAATCATTGGTGAAATATTAAAATTCATTCATTTCACTGTGCACTTTGAAATTTAAAAGTTTACACACAGGTCTGGCAGGTTTGGCTCAGCAGTTAGAGCATCAGCCCACGGTCCAGAGAGGCCTGGGTTCGGTTCCCACTAAGGACATGTACCTCAGTTGCAGTTTGTCCTCGGCCCTGGATGGGGTCGTGTGGATGGCGACCAGTCGATGTATCTCTCTCACATCAATGGTTTTTTCTCTCTTTTCCTCCCTTTCTCCCTCCGCTCTATATGAAGATAAATGCAAAAGTGTCCTCAGGTGAGGATTAAAAAAAAAAGTTTACACACAGACACAAAAGGTGAATGGTAGACTGGAGTGGAATTGTATCAGCAGAAATAAGAAAGTTACAAAATAATTTGAAAAGAAAACTAATGAGAAGCCAATTTTCTCCCCGAAATCCCCCAGAGGCAGTAGGTACCACAGAGAAGGGGGTTCAGCAGTGGGTTGAAAATAGGAAGGGGGAGGTTTGAAAGTCTCATATAAGGGCCCTGGCCGGTTTGGCTCAGCAGTTAGAGAGTTGGTTGGCCTGCAGACCATAGAGTCCCAGGTTTGGTTCCCACTAAGGGCACGTACCTCGGTTGCAGTTTGTCCCCACCCTGATTGGGGTCGTGTGGGTGGTAACCACTCGATGTGTCTCTTTCACGTCGATATTTCTCTCCCTCTCTCCCTCTCACTCTATCTGAAGATAAATGCAAAAATGTCCTCAGGTGAGGATAAAAAAAAAGTCTCATATAAGGTTGTTGAAGCCCTCAGAGCTCCCTTCGCCTCCCACATGTAGCCAAGAGGCTTCTCACCACCCTAGCCCACTCCAAGCCCCTCTGCAAGGAACTAAAGGGTTATTTTTGGGGGGGCAAATAAATGGAACACTGAGATTCTAGATTTAAGGTTACCAAGCCCAGCAGCGAAAGTTACCTTGGGGTGAGGTGGG